ATCAGTCCAAAAAAAAAAAAAGAAAGAAAGAAAGAAAGAAAGAAAGAAAGAAAGAAAGAAAGAATAATGCTATTTCATGGGGAGGGGAGAGTAAGAGTATGTAGGTGCTATTACTTTTAGTAGGTCAATGCCAATTTTACCTTGTTTTTCCTTCTGTAAAAAAAGATGTAATTGGTAGCACATGACTTCAGCAGTGTAAATTATAATAATATCCACCTTGTAGATGTGCTGCTGGTTTTTTGCAAGATGATTCTTGGAATGCCTAGTATCTCAGAAGTTAGAAAGGAACGTGGGTGGCCCTACTGCTAGCAAACAGTTTTGTACAACTCTTGGTAGTGCCCCTGTCTAGATAGCTAGTTGGAATAACCCAGTCAGACTGATGGGGCACTTCAGGCCATTCATTGTACAGGTTAGAAAAGAGAGTCTTCAGTAAGTTGTATATATTCTATAGAATAAATGGGCCTGGTCTTAGCAGCATGGCTAGTCTTTCAACAGCTGCTTTTTATTGCATTACAGTGAATAAAGCAGTTAAAATAACTTTAGGGGAAATAATGTCAGGATAGGATTGCAGGTCTTCCTGTTACATTACAGACCTAGGCAAAAGCAGGAGCTGAAGAGCTCACTGGAGCCATCAGATGGACCCCTGGCCCACTCAGCAGGCTCAGAGGGCAGGGTATCACCAGCAACATTAAGAGTTACAAGTCACCCTAGATGTCTTTGGAGTCTCCTTTCTTCCAAGTAAGTGTTTTAAACAAGTCTTATAAGTACCAAGACACGTTTTTATTCTTTTGTAGCACTTTATATTTACACCAAGGAAGGGACAACTGAAAACTGTACCCTGTTACAGATTAAATTGCTAAGGAAAGCTGAAGTGTTTTTTCCAGAGTCTCACTGTGATACAAGCTGGCCTTGAACTAACCATGCAGCCCAGGATGGCCTTGAACTCATAATCCCCCTACCTTAGCTTCCTCAATGTAGCAATTACAGGTGTGTGCCACCACCCCCTACTAGGAAGTCTCCATGTTATATTCTACACCTGAGGTTCTACCTGCTCATCTCAACTTTTACATGAATAATTGAAATCTTACCCTCTCCTTCTTACCATTCATACTGCCCCCCAATTTTAGCACAAGTCTATGCCTTGATAAACTTTGAATGTTAAATGTTGAGAGGGGTGGGGTTCAGATTAATACTGTAGAGAATTCTGTCAAGGAAGGTGTGATGTTTCCAACCCTTTGTAATTCATTGTGTTTGCAACCTTTTTCTCTTCTAGTTAATCATAAAGGGTGTAATTGTGGTCTCTAAGTCAGCCCTCTGTGCTGTAGAACATTTGGGGAAACCTTTTTTTTTTTTTAAATTTTATTTTAGTATCTAGGTGTAAAAGAGAACCACTTATCTTTTTTCTTTTTCTGACTATTGTTAGTATGTCCACCAGTTCTGTGTATTTTGTTCTAGATGTTAGTATATACTATTTTTTTATAGCTCAGCAATATTCCATTTTTGTTTTATTTAGTACTTTGTTTGTTGATGGACATCTTAGACAATTCTGTCTTTTAGGTATTATGGATAGTGCATCAATAATATAGGTGTGCATATGTCTTAGGTATGAGTATGTCTTAGGCACACACATCTTTTACATGGTAATGTCTTTGGAAATACCTATACAAGGTAGAGATTAAATGTTCAGTTCCTTCTGAAATTCAATTACTGGTGAAGTTATAAAGTGAGCTTTATTATTAATAGGGAGGTTGGCTATATAATTTAAGTTAAGCATATTGACTATTTCTGAGCACAATTACAAAGTGATTAAAATTTCCAAATCCCCATGGGGGCAGGGCAGAGTCTAAGTTCTCATTCTAAACTGATGATTTTACCTTTTTCCTAATGGTTTCATACAGCCTCCCTTTGCTTTTCTTCTCATACCATTTAAAAGTGAACAATATTTTTGTATGTAGTTTACATTGAAGATGAATGCTTTGTAGTGTTTCTGTGTGTTTTAAGGATACAGCTCTTCTACACAATAAGTATTTTATTAATCTCTTCCATGGCTCCCTCTTCCCTTCTCAGAAAAGAAGAATTATGTTTTCCATATTGGCTTACTGATATTTCATCTTACTTTCTGAATGAATTTTGATTTCCAGGTAAACTGTTTTGACTACTGTGCCACTCTCTGTAAGTGGTAGGATCGTGGCTTTAATGGCCACTGTAATGGAAAAGGGGAGAGAGAGCACCACCGTTTGGATCTGGTTAGATTTTGAGTGATACTGAAACACTAATTGATTTGGGACTCATGCTCTTTATCCCACAGTAATCAGTTAGGTACTGTGTTAGGTGAAAGGATAGAACTCATCAAAAATACTCATAATGGAGTAGGATGTAGAAAGCATAGAATAGTTTGCCTTTAGAAGGTAAACCATGCTGAAAGAATAAAAGGAAAGATTTGCTCTAGTTTGGAGAATTAGAGAGAATACATGGATGGAAGATGGTTGTTAACACAGAG